ACTTCCCCGCATGCCTTAATTAGTTCAGTAGGAATATTATTGGTTCCCGCTGATTTATAAGATTTTAATTTCCCGATAGTTACTTCAACTTTCTCTTTACTTGGTCCTTCTATCAGCACTCTGGTACTCAGAGGAGGACATAGATCATTATTTCCCATATTTAAAATATTGCCAAAGTGGTTCTTAAATTTATTTAATAGGTCAACCAGATCGGTCAGAATATTGTTATTTTCATCCCTAATTCCAGACGTTACGGGCCCTAAACATTTACATGATCTGTTTATACCTTTGTATATGTCTCTTACGTGTTTTTCGATTCTATTAGTTTCTATTTCAATTATTATATTTTTAAGATAATCCCTTTTTTTATTTTTGAGCAATTTTGTCGTTTCCTTCTTTGAGGTTTGGAAGTATTCCAGATAGTCTTCGCTAGGATTATTTAGAGTTTTAAATTTAACAGCTTTTCTTTTTTCGCAAATGTTTAAGCAATCTTTATCAAACCACGGTTTGTTTGTTTGTTTGTTTCGATGTCTAGGCGCAAAACATCCAGGTCATAAGCGCCCGATCAACTAAAAAACCACGGTTTGTTATTATTATTTATCTTTTTTCCTAGACATGTGTTACCGACCGCTTTAATATTTTCCCTGATCTCTACCCATAACTTGTCAATATTCTCATGGTCCTCGTCAGAAAGTTCTGAAGCTTCAAACCTATTCTTAACATCAAGCTCGAATTGGGTTCTAATTGATGGATTTTTTGATTTTTCCAAATTAAAATTCTCAAAATCGAAACAGTTTTCTTTTCTCTTTTTTATATTAAGTTTTTGTTGAAGTTTCACGATTACTAATTCATGATCCGACCCACATTCTGCTCCGCGATAAGACCGTACATTAATTATACTGCTTTGCCAGTGTTTGCGAATCTGGTGATGTCCAAGTATATTTATGAATATCCTTATGTTTAAATGTAGTACTTTTAATTATCAGGTTTTTGGAGATGGCAAAGTTTATCAGACGGATCCCATTATCATTAATATATTCGTGCAAACTTTCTTTACCAATCGTCGGAACATAAACTTCTTCCCTTCCCACCTTTGCCTTCGCGTCACCTACAATTTTATTTTCATGGAGTTTCGTGGTAGTTTATCATAAACCCATTTCAGTTTATTGTAAAATTCACATTTGACTTCATCGTCACTGTCTTCGGTCGGACAATGTATGTTTATTAATACAATTTTAAACCATCCCTGAAATATAGCTACCGAAATTCTATCAATAAAGAATTGTATGTCCCTCAAAGCTGATAGCAATCTATTGCTAATTAGAAACCCGGTACCTAAACAATGATTCCCGCTTCCTCCGTACCAAATAGTGTACTTTCCTTCCCTCATTGAGCTCTCCCCTGGCCAGCGAACCTCTTGCAGAGCCACGACATCCAAATTGTACCCATTAACCTCATTCGCGACCGATTTTAACCCCCCTGCTGTATTTAAACTCCTTAAGTTCCACGTACCAATATTCAAATCCCTACATTTTAACTTTCATTTTAATTAATTTTAAACTATTAAAATAATTATTTTAATCAAATATTATCATTATTAAGACTGATAAACATGTGATTCTGTTTTGACAATGAAATTTATCATAGACTTTATATCATTGGTTTTTTCACAGAGTATTTGGATTTAGAAAAACTCAGATTTCCCATTTTATTTTATTTTACTTTTTTTAGTTATCTATAACAGTCATGAGAGATAGATATCAATATAGTTTAAAAATTTTGTAAGTTAAAAAAATGTTTATTTTTATTCAATTTTGTATTTTCTCATTATTATTTTATTTTTAAGTCACATTCCAATGACAAAACTAGCAGTCACATTTGTCATAATGAAAATGCCTTGAACCGGTTTGAGGAAACCATTCCATTTCTGGAATGGTCCAGAATGGTTCTGAAACAAAAATGGTAAAACCATATAAATTAATTTAAAAAATTTGAATATAAAAACAGCACTTTTTTTTTACTTTAGCAGCTAAAAGTAAAAAACAGCACTTTTTTTTACTTTATAAGCTGAAAGTCGAGTCCGACATTTGTTAATCAACATGTTAGCTATTGAAAAAATTCTTTGGCATCGAACCGAAGTGGCTACTATACTCAAAATTTCTTTGGCAATGATGTACAAATTAGGGTAGTTGTTCTGCAGACCAAACTACCACTTCATAGGACCTTCGTTCTCATCTAAAATATCTTTTTCTAAATACCTGTTTAATTCAATCATTGCCTTTGATTCAGGTGTCCCTTTCTCAGAATGTTGCTCTTGGGCTATCATCAATGTTTCTAAAACGTCCAGTTCGTTTTTTCTTTCTTCATTCTTTTGTACTTCCCTCCATTAATCTTCATTTTCCTCTGCCTCGATAATTTTTCAGTTGTTCTAAAATGTTTTAGTATCATGCATATTTACTTCATTATTCTCTATCTCGTTTAAAGTGTTGTTCAGAAGGAAGATTGAACAGAACGAGAACTGGAACGAATTCCAATGGTGGAACATTCCGTTCTGTTTTGACCTTTAATCGGAATTACCCATCCTTAGTCAGGAAAATTGGTTGGTATTTAAGGTTTTTTTTTGATATATAAAAAACGAATATCAACTTTGTTTCTCCCTAAAAAATATTTATACTAAATGCCAGGGCGGTATAGAATAAATATTATATTTGGCAGATAGCTACAATATGGGCATAATTTTGACCAACTGATGTTGCAATGTAAAATAACTTTATAGTTCAATACTTTTTATCATAAAACAATTTAGACCCTTCGAAATTTTGTTGACAGCCACAAAAATTGTGATAACTTTAGAACGATTCCACCGATTCAAACAAAAATGATTAGGAATATAGGGCTCTAAATGCTGCTACATGAAATGATATAAAACCGACCTCCAAAAAAATATTGAGAAGTTTTTCTTAATTTATAAATTAAAAAGGAATACAATTTATCAATATGGGTTGTAAGAGCAATAATTCAGCTTTCCAACAGTTGTACAAATGCTGAATTTGGAGGAAATCTTGAGAAGTTATACATGCTTTAGTTATCGGCAGGAAAAAAAAATTCTATAAGAAAATGAACTATTAAATTTTGCAATTTTTGATTTATTTAAGAGTGTCAAAGGACACTAAAAACAATTCTAACTTGCTTTTTCATATTCAAAATTTACTTAGCATACTGTAATTTACTTGTGGTTTTATAATTTATGATACACTAAAACTCATTTAATACAATAGCCAATATTTTTTTCTTATTCTGCACAAAAAATATAAATTGATTGATACAAAATAACCTAAAAATCCGGGCAAAGCAAAGGCAAAAATAAATAACATAAATTGTGCTTTGAACCATATAATTTTTTTTTTTTTTTGCGGCTTATAGGGCCCATTAGAATGAATAACGATACATGTCAATGGGATCAATAACAACTCAAAATGACAATGGGAAATTTGGTTAAAATCAGTGACCCACTGACTGTAGATTCCCCTTGTTAGTCTGATATCTTTATGGTAAATCATTTATCATACCAACAACATTCACTAAATCGTCTTAATGAATTTTTCTCAGTCAGCCTTCAGTGTACCTGATTGAAGCGCCTACCTGAAAAGAGTTCTGGACTCAACTGGAGTTCTTAACTTCCCCCCATACAGAAACAAGAATTTAAACTTAAAATTCCAAACTTATAAACAGCTAAGCAAGATTTCATAAACGCATGACAAATTTTACAAAAGAACTAGAATATAAATCTCTAAGTTAAATTCAAATTCTAATTTATCCTAAAGAGGTGCCCTTGTATTTTCTCTACTTCATGTTTCATAGATCAAATTCAATAGCTGTAAAAATACATTTGCAGTTCTGAATATAATAAAGAAAAATAAAAACATGTTAGCAAACTCTGATGGTGGGTGGTAAGGGGAACTTACACTAAAGTACTAGTAAAAGCTTTAAAATATCCACATTCTTATCCAAAACACACTTGTGACATAAACAATAACATTAAAAAAAAAACCTTTAATAATACAATTATTACTTCCTCAACAGCATGAAAGTTGCTATTTCATTTGGCTAAATATAAGTAGTATAGGAGACAATAAGAAAAAATAACATAATACATCTATTACAAAAAAAAAGTTAATAATCCTAAGCAAGACAACTGTGATATTTACAACAACTTACAAAGTTTGTCATAAAATTCAAAACATACTGAATCCAATACACTGCCCTAGCCTCTAGTACTTGCTTGATGAACTGTAGTAGCCAGAGGGCCTATAATGTCTCTTTTCGAGCTTTTTGCTTACTTTAATTTATCATGATATTTCATTAATATTGTAATTTAAGCCTATATGTTGGGTAAACAACAACATAAATGCTCAAGAGTAAAAATTAATAAACCAGCAGGAAACTATACCTGTTTAGTTAGTAACCTCATAACAGTGACTTTTGATAAATAAAATATATTACAATGATGTAGAGATGGTTGACCGTTGATATGATATGAGAAGGAATTAGTCGAGGGTGCGGTAAAAAAAATAAATAAAAAAATTAAAATATATAAATAATTTTAATTTTTGCCGACGTTTCGACCCACTTTGCAGGTCGTCTTCAGGGCGTTGGATGTGGCACTGCGGGAGGCGGTTGAAACACTGTGTGTGTTTCAACCGCCTCCCGCAGTGCCACATCCAACGCCCTGAAGACGACCTGCAAAGTGGGTCGAAACGTCGGCAAAAATTAAAATTATTTATATATTTTTATTTTTTTATTTTTTTTTTTTTTGACCGCACCCTCGACTAATTCCTTCTCAAAATATATTACAATTAAACAGCACTTAAATTTGTTGTAGGCTCTAAAATTCTATCATTTTTTATGCACAAATAAAATTAAATACTATCTATTTAATTCAAGATTCATAAAAAGAGTGAATTTTAAGTTTATTAGTGGAGGAGAGAATAAAAACTTACTCAAGCAACTTGTTATAATAGCCCCTGTGCTCACACCACAGATAAAATCAAATAAGTCACATATTTTTTTACCAGATATTTCTTCAATCCTTTGCAACATTCTTATTACAGCAATTCCCCTAAAGAAAAAAAAAATACTTCCAATTAAAGTTGAAGTAAATTTTATTTAGGGTAATATAACCTGCAAAATAATAAAAGAACATGAGTTTTTAATGTACTCTGAATACATAAATATATATAAAGGAAGGAGATGGTCCGGGGTGGCGGTCATAAATAGGCTAAATAGTGGTAAAACTATTTTATTAAAAGCCAACGTTTCGACCCGGACTTTGCAGGTCTTCTTCAGGGCTAGAACGGACAAGATACAAAAAGATAGAGAATTGTGGAAGTTACATAATATTTAGACAAAAAATTATAAACAATGTGAATAAGCTTATTAAAATTATAAACAGTAAGTTCATTAAAATATGAACAGAGTAAGCTAAGTAACCAGATCCTATACTAAGGTAAATAAATGCTAACAATTGTTGTAGTGTAATATATAATAAATGCAAATGTGAATATAATTCTACAGATCTAAAGGAGAGATTGAAAGAAAAGGAAAGAGGATATAATATGAAATAATAGACAGAAAGAAATGTGAAGAAAGAAAAGAAAAAAGAAAACCAAAAAATTAAATAAATAAGTAAATAGAATAAAATTAGAGACTTACAGGTGTGTTCAGCAAGGAGTTTCACTTAGAACTGGAAAACCAGGGTAAGGGCAGGTATTGGGGAAGCTGACTTGTTTGGGTAATGGGGAAAAACCTAGAAAATTACAGTATCTAAAATTTGAAGATATGGATGGATACAACGGAAAAATACTATATCTATGAAATATTAAATTATAAATATATACATATACATATAAAATATAATTACTACTTATATATATAATAAATATACATTTATATGTATGTAGTACAGTTATATGTATATAAATATAATATTAAGTATAAATATAAATATAATATTTACAAATATATATATATAAATATAAATATACATTTATATGTATATATTATGTATATGTATATATTTATAATTTAATATTTCATAGATATAGTATTTTTCCGTTGTATCCATTCATATCTTCAAATTTTAGATACTGTAATTTTCTAGGTTTTCCCCATTACCCACCCTGGACCATCTCCTTCCTTTATAATGCAATGGTCAACTATTAAATACTTAATAAATATATATCTATGAAAAATCCTCAAAATATTTTATATCTAACCTTTCAACCTATCAAAATTTCTGAACTCATCATCCCTAAATGCTTTGAATAGAGATAATTATAATAACTATGATAAATAAATTGTTTAGAACTTAAGAAGATTTTAAATACATAAAATGAATAAGCCTAGATGTAAAATGATTTTTTACAAATATTCAGGAGGATGATTAAGTGAAAATAATCGTTGATAAATGGAATAAGATAGATCACACAATTTATAGAAGGTTTAAATCTCTGTCAAATACAACTATTTGATCATTTAAATATAAAGAAGAATTAAATAAGCAAACATTTGGACTCTCCATGGAATCTTCTTTATCCGTGAATTTAAGGGGCATTTATCTGAGTAACCTAATAAATACAAAGTTGGAAATATTAGATGCAAAACCTATATTGTTCAAAAAATAGATAGATGAAAGGTTGACCATTATGTTGTTGTATAGTAAAACCTGTTGGTCATCAATACCGTTAATTAAAATTAAATATTATTATATCTTCTGGTGATGAATAATAGGAATAAAATTAAATTAAAAAGACATAAAATGCACCTTAATTAAAGTTGTTTACATTTATTAAAGTTTAGTTATTTAAAGTTAGCATGTTAAGTAAAAAAAAATAAATAAATAAATAAAAAGAAGTGGGGAGTGCTGTGTGAGAGGGTCAGAGATTTTTAATGATTCCTTCTTCAGAGAGAAAACACATAATTTTGCTCAAGATTTTTTCATCATTTCCCAAAGCATGTGGATTATCCTTTGGGCTATCTTTTGGGAGTTCTTGTTAAGACTACCAAAAGATAGCCCTGAGAAAGACCCACATGTTTGTGTCGAAACGTCGGCTAACATAATAAAAATTCTTGAATGTAAAACCTGAATCTTTTGTTTCATCCTAATAATTGATCAGTCGACTGACTAATTATTCATCTTTATAATTACTTTCCCTGATTTGAATATTTTATATCAAACCTTTTATAGAGATCTGACTTAAAAGATGTAACTATCAAATCCATATTACTTTTCTTTATTTCAAGACCATTAACAATGTCTATAATGAATTATAATTTTCTATAAGATGGAAGTAATATACATATATGCTACAATAAATAACTTAAGATTCATCTGGTTATTTATTTATTACCTTTATTAAGACCTTATAGTAGTATTGATAGATAATTCAATAACTGATTTATTTTAAACATTGGTGTAAAAGCATTTATACACTTCAATAATATTAATTATGTGCTAGTCTAAAAAACATATATACAATCAATGAAATTTACCTCATGCCTCCACCATCTATTGACAAAATTCTAATCCCATTGGAACGTGGAGGATCTGCATAGCCAAGTATTGTAAGAGTTTGTAGAATTGTTTCATGTGTAGGCACATCGTTAGTATGCTTTCGAATAAATAAAAGGATTCCAATTGCTCCTTTCTGAAATTAATAATGACTTCAATTTTTTGATTTGGAGAGGAAGAGATACCTACCTCTATTTATCCCTATTGTTTATATACCCTAAGCATGCAGCTTATGAGGTAATTTTGTCGTTTTATTTAAATTTTGAAAAATGATACAAGCCGAAACCATCCTAAGAAATTGTCAGACAAGTTTTATCTTCAAACTAAAAGATGAGATTTTCCAATTCTCCTTCTGCTACTTATTAGGTAAAAAAAAAATTCCTAGCTCCCGGACAATCAGGAACTATTGGGAACACATGAGATAAAAATGGCCAAGAATTGGTAAACAAGATTTAAAAAAAAAAATCAAGTGTACCACCATATCAGTAATAGCAAATAAATCAATACAATTACCATTGGCAGCATTTGGTATTCATGATTATTAAATTTGCCAAAACCTTTAACACAAAGATAAGAAGAAAAAGTTTTGCTGGGATTTGTTTGGATTAATTTTAATTCTCCAATTTGCACACCATTTTTCAATGGCTGAAATGTGTGACTGCAGGGTTTGTGATGCAACAGTTGGTTCATTATTGACAGACAACACACACGTGTCATCAGCATAGGTAGTGAGGACGGTTGAATTTAAAAGTTTACATTTAGTAAGAAAATTTCATTTAACTTCCTTGGAAACATACGATTTACGTCAAATAATGTTAGGTTTCAGAAATTATTATTTATATTTTATTAGACATTCTCCGTTATCTTCTGAAAATTTATTTATTAAATATTATTTTTCTAAAATACTCCCCTTTCTAACGATATATTATTCGTATACCTTCTGACTATTATTTCTCGAGATTCATTTTCGATCTGGATAAGCATGTTTCTTTTTTTCTCCTTTATTCAATTATCAAATTCTTTCAAAAGTTATATTTAGCTTTTTTCATAACTCCTAATAATGGGACAGTTAATTTTTTTAAATTAACAAAATTAAAGGTATTTTAGAGGAAGACATATTGAATATTGGATACTTAAGTCCTTTAAGGCAACATCAATATGGATAAGACCTAGCTGATATTAAAGCCCACTTAATAATACACTGATATACTGAGTTTAATCAAAATTGTTTAAGCTGTTTTTGAGAAAATCGATTATATTAAGTGCCACTTCCAGTTAGCCCATTTTGACAAAAAAATTGCTGTAATATCTCAGGTATATACAAACCTCAAATATGCAATTTCACTTTAATGCGAATTTTTGTTTTTGAGCTAGATTGTTCACATACATACATACAGATGTTCACAGACACACGCACACGCACGCACGCACATACACACACAGAAAATTTTGCAGGACTTGGTCATTTGGACTTAGGAGACCTCAAAACATGTATTTCCGATGAAAACTCAGATTAAAAAATTTTCGCGATCATATTACTGTTCCTCACTATATTTCAGATATAGGTAAGTGAAAGTAAAAATGTTAATCTGGTAATGTAATGTACTATTACAAAAAAAGTTATAAATATATTTAAAAAAAACTATGAATACTTTAAATTACCTTGACAGCAAAGTTTTTTGCAGTGGGATGGCAGATTAAATGATTTAATAGATCTTCCAAACGCTTTAATCGAACAGAAACTGATTCTGAAGATGCCAAAGAACTCAGCAAGTGTTGAGTCTGAGCATTTATTTCTTCCTTTAAAAGAAAATTAAGAATATTAAATAAGTCACAAAACATGATAATGTAAGGATTTAGTGATATCAGCAAATTTTACATCATAATTCATTATCGCTGGGACAGACATGATACATAATATGATAAACCAAAATTAAAAAATACTTTAATGACAGGATTATTTTTTTCCAGTTAACTAGAAACAAAATATTCACAAGTGGTAAAATATACTTAAATACAAATATCCAAAACTATGTTATGTTATATTAAACTAAAAAATATAGTTGTTATAACTATAAAATATAATCTCATGTCTTTGCTTCATCTGCTAGGTATAAATACAACAATTATAACTAATAATTAATGTATAATTTTTTGGTGATCATTTGAATGTGATAGCCTGGTATCTCTTATAAGGTCCCGTTTTTCTATATACCAGGAGTGTTTGTGCTATAGTTCTAAATTTCCTCGTTATGGAGAGTGATGGGGTAGATCACAATATAGATCACGATGGTGCACTTAGCCGCATTCCAGCACTAGTATCCACAGAGACAACAGATGCTCCGAGAGCGCCCTCAGGTAAAGAGATGTTTTAAGCTGGCATAAAAATGGTAAGCTGTTTTTGTACAATTCATACAACCTACCAATTCATTAAAATACAGTCCACTGCATAAAAAAGTAGAATGTTCCCTATTAAGAATTCATGAGAGTTATTTGCCTTGCCATAATTTAAAATTTGGAAAGTTGCCTAAACAAGGAGTATAAATATAAAACCATGATTCATCCATAGATGGCTTTCGTTGTTAATTTAGTTACCCTTCAACTACATTATTGGCACCATTTTTTTTCTTCGACAGTTGGCAAAGATTTTTGCCAAACTCACAACAATAGAATTTCACTTGACAACATTGTTTTCTGTTTCCATTTAAAGAAAACTACTATAATAAAAGGCAGGAATATATGGAAGCTCTGGGAAGGGAGTTGGAGGATGTCAATTATGACATGGTACTAGATCCCTTATGGAGCTTTATCAGAGATCGCATCCATAAAGCTGGTTTGGAGGTCTGTGGAATGAAGAAGATCAGGCCTAGCACCAGGATCACAAAATGGCGGAATGATGAAGTTGCCAAAGTGGTGAAAGAGAAGAAAATGGTTTGGGCGACTTACAAGAGATCTAAATCATCTATTTAAACACTCCTATAATATATATATAAATCTAGGTGGTATTACTGTACAACTATTGCTCTACTTGTATAGTAGTACCATCTGGGCTCTGGTAGTAACTAGCAATAACGTAACTTAAAAAATAAATTAAAATATAATAGATATTTTCTTAAAAAGTGAAAAAATAAATACAAATAATAAAAGAGATGAGCAATTAGTCGACTGATCGATTATTAGGATGAAACAAAATTGTCAGGATTTACAGTCAAGAATTTTCAGTTTGCCGACATTTCACCCCACATGTATGGGTCGAAATGTTGGCTAAACATGTAAATAGCATGTGCTTAATTTATTTTAACTATTATCTAATATGACAAAATTAGATTTTAAGTCTGGATAATTTAGCTACTAGTTCACAAATCTGTTTGACAGTAGGGTCAAGATAACATCAAGCAGATGGAATTCCAAAAATTATAACATTTTCTCAAAAGAGACAAATAAATCCGCAGTGGATCCTTTTCAGTTAAGGAAGAGCTTTACCAAGCAGGTGTCCTTGTCTTTGTAGAAAATTCCCATTCAAATTATTCCTTAATTTTTTTCTTAGAATGGTTTAATAACATCGACTTCCTCCACATAGTTTCAAAACACACTTGACTATTCTTGCGATCCTACACAGTGTGATCAAAGAGATCTTGACTGAGTCAGTCAACAGACATGAAACTTGCGGATTAGTACAATTAGTTTTAAAACACATAAGATGCAAATGAATTGAAAAAGCTGATTACAGGTTTCAAGCTGAATAATAAATGTTTAAAAACATGACAATTCAGAAAACTTATTAGCCAATGTATTTTCATCTAATTAAATTAGGAAAAAATGGATGACTGTATTTCTATATTCTTTAATACAACTAAATCTTTAAAAAAAAATGTACATTGAAATGAAGAAATCAGTGTTAGCATCATATATACACCAGAACGAATATATATATATATATTTTGTTTTGTTTTTCAGAAGTCTTTGTTTACAATAAAATCTCCAAATGAAACAGGGGTCTAAGATGACTACAGAAGATCTTCAATTTAATTCTGATCAAAACCATAATAAACAAAGAAATTTATCATTAAGTCCAGTTAGCAAAGGATTTCCACAACAAATGAAAACTTTTAAGAAATAAAAATACACAATTAAATCCAATACATACTCGAGTGACAGCAGGAGGATGAGTTTTCCATCTTGGAGTTTTTTTTACACCACTCTTCTTTGAGGAAGAAGTCAAGTCACCAATTAACTTAGTCAAGTCAAACCCATAGTTGCTTTTCTTTACTTCTCCTTTTTCTTCGGAATTTACTTCTATTACCTTCTGAATACTTTGTAATTTCCGCAAATCTGATTTGAAATCTGATTTCTCATTGTCCAAAAATAAGTTGTAAAAACTTGCTCTGACATTTAAATAAGATTGGATAAAATTGTTATTGTCCTTCAAATAATTTTGAAATAAACTTTTATTCTTCACGACGTAATTCACAATTTCTATAAGTTTTGCAACAATACTCCTTTCTTTTGAACCCATTAGTTTTAACGTTAGTTATAGAATGAAAATAAAAAGTGGCAAAAGCCTGATTCTAACCGAAAAAACATGTTGACAATCAACATCGCAATTTGGCATTGATCATACTGTTTAAAATGAGTTGATAAATAAAATGAGTAAGTTCTATAAATCATAAACAAAGAACTATTTGCGGTAACGTTATCAGTAACCAAAGAAGTAGTTCTTAAAAAGCAGCAAGTAACGTATTAAAAAATATTAAGAAATAAATGTTCCTAGAGTATAAGGTGAGTTATATAAAATTAAAGCTTAGTACAAATAATAATCTTTATTTAAAAATCGGAAGGTAAATGGGTAGACCAAAAATACAAATCCGTGTCTCTGACTTCTAAAAAATCAATTCATAAAAGATGCTTTGAGGGTCTCCTCCGTGGTCAATATTATTGAGTTAATATCGAATTTCGTAAATAATGAGGTAGCTCCTAAATGCAGCTCTGAGCTCATAGATAGCATCGGAGCCGTCTTTAGATTGGGTGAACCGACGTCATTAATGAGCTGAGTTTAGAAATTGGCCCACACTGACCGTGCTAGGAATACATTGCATCAATTATATTGACGTCAATAAACTGCTTGATATAACTTTTTACTTTCGCCTATTTTCACTTATTTCATTTATTTTCACTTTAACCTATGCGATATATAGTAATAGAGAGTATTGCGATCGTGAAAATTTTCGAATCTGAGTTTTCAGTCCAAATAACCAAGTCCCGCAAAATGTTCTGTGTGAGTGTGTGCGCGTGCGTGATCAATCTAGCTCAAAAACAAAAGTCACGCAATTGATATTGCGTGTCTAAAAGGTTTGCACATACCTGTTATTTTACACCAACTTTTTCGTCAAAATCGGCTAACCGGAAGTAATTTTATACATTTTTACAAATTTCTTGAAAACAGCTCTAACGATTTTGATTAAATTCATTTATATCAATGTAAAATTAAGCAGTTTAAAATAAAATGTAGGTTTCATTCTTATCGATGTTCTCTAACAGTATTCAACTGTCTAATTTCCAAATGCTTTTCGTCTAAAGTATCTATATTTTTTTTATTTGAAATAATTAACCATTCCACATTCGGAACTGATATAAAAATGACTAAATATAATGAATGAAAATAATTGATTCTTAACTAAAGGAGAAATGAGGTTTGAAAGCTATACGTAAACAGCCGATAGTACCCCACCTTTGCCGATCATCTTGGTTTACTAATACCCGATACCCCTCTGTACAAGGCTTTCATATTGTTAATTTTACTTTTAGATATCACTGAGTTGGGATGGATTTAGAGAGACAATTTGTACAAATATGAATGAATTCACAAATGTAGGAGACAATATAGATGATCGAGTAGATTCTTTTAATTATATAATTACGGAAGTGGTCCGTCAAAATATTCCACTTAAAAGAAACACATGACCATTTGATATATGCAATGACGCTAAGAAACTGATTACAACTAACCCTTGTGAGGGCTACAATGACCCTTTTGGCTGGAAGAAACAAGAATATGCCCTCAGTAGTTGCAAAAAGATATCAGCTCTTGGTATTGTCGATGTTTCAAATGAAATGATTAGGAATATGCCATATGAAGGAAAGGTATACATGTTAAAATTATTCAATCAGGTATGGAACAGCGGCATTTTCGCTCGAATTTAGAAAACATCTATCATAGTTCCAATCCCGAAAAAAACGTTGAAGCAATCATCCGAAAGACTTCTACCCGATTTCTCTGTGTTTGTGCTCACCTAAACTTTAGGAGAAGATGGTAAAAATCTGATTGATCAATATAATCGAAAGAAAAGGATTATTTTCTACCTCTCAGTTTGGGTTTAGAGAAAACTTCTGCAGCATCGACCCTGTTCTAATACTGAAGAAGCCTTCTCTCGGAAGGAGCACTTAGTATTTTTTTGGACCTCGAGAAGGCATATGATACTATGTGGCACTAGCGGATCCAGGATTTAATTTTTTTTGGGGGGGGCTTCAGCCCGAAAGTTTTTTTTTCATAAAAATAACGATAATTACTTTGGAAAAAAAGAAAGAAGCTAACTTACCTGTATGAAATGGTGTTTGAGTGATTCCTAAAGCCCTTTAAAATGTAATTACACGAACAATAATACTTTTTAGATGCGACAATAAAAGTGATACTTTTTAAATATTTTTTTCGATAAAACATGGTTATATTTTGGCATTTTGGGGGAGGGGCTTCAGCCCGAAAGCCCCCCCCCCCCGTAGATCCCCCGTGCTATGTGGAGGGAAAGAATTTTGAAAATATTACGCGATTGGAGATTGATGGAAAGATATACAAGTGTCTCAAGAACTTTCTAACGAATAGAAAGTTTTACGTACGAATTGAAAATTCATTTTATCAAGCTACTCACTGGAAAATGGTATCCCTCAAGGCTCTCCACTTAGTGTTACCCTTTTCTTAATCGCCTTCAATAAACTGGCACCAATTTTTAAAAGAATAACCAAAGTCTTCTTATTTGGTGATGATATTTTACTATTTTTATGCAGCAAATCATTGCGATTTATCGAATGGAAAATGCAAGAAGCATTAAACAGATCAGAAGAATGGTCTGAAAAACTAGATTTCTTATCTTTGCATTGAAAACTAACGCGATTCATACATGTCGCATGAGAAGTTGCACTCAGAACCCTCAATATTTAATGGGAATGAACAATATAGCATTTACTGATGAGCAGAAATATTTTGGGAAATATCTCGATAGGTATTTATCTTGGACCAGCTACATCAAACGTCTCAAGGATGACAGCTTAAAAGTATTGTGCTTACTAAAGTGTCTTTCACACTCAAGTTGTGGAGCTGATAGGCTAAGCCTCATGATCATATAACAAACTACAACAAGAACGAAGACGGACTACGGCTCAGTAGTCTACTGTTCTGCTAGAACATCCATTCTGAGGATGCTGGATGTAGTTCACAATGCAGCACTTAGGATATGCACTGAGGCTTACAGACCATCACAATTGAACGTTATTTAAACATTGCCAAACACCCATGCTGCCACTATAATGTAAATATAAATCTATCGCTCTTTAAGACCTGCAAAGACGTGGTAAATCCCACAGAAGATTAAAAACTGTTCTTGATGCTTTTAGAAGAGTTTCATGATTACAAAATCATGTACACTGGCGCATCTAAATGTGAGGACTCGCCTGTAGGATTTGCGATGATAGCAGAAGGTGAATAGAACCTTTTTAGATTATCTGAAGCCTGTCCTGCTTTCATTGAAGAAGCGACCGCCATCCAGGAAGCTCTTCTCTATTGCCAAAAGGCCAAATCGTAACATACTCGAAGGATGTTCTACTGACACTTGACAACCAGAGGCCGAAAGACTCAGCAATAGCTGAAATTTTGAACATCGCATGTGAAATTGAAGAAAAAGGCTGTGATGTAGATTTTATTTAGGCCCCATCCGATTATGGGATTAAAGGAAAAAAGCAGATTTCGCTTCTCGGACATCCCGAATGGCCGACAGCATTGAAATAAAAATCCTCAATTGCGTCCCTCGGGAAGATTGGGTAAGGCAGATTGTTGTTGGTGACCCAGTGGAATGAGGCCTGGTGGAGTTGCCCCTCGAAACTACTCCAGATAAAATAAAACAGCTCAAAATACAGCACTAGCTGCAGGGAATCAAGGCGAGAGGAAATAATATTGTGCCGCCTCAGGATCGGCTATTGTGAATTTTATCATGGATATCTTCACCGCGGTCTGGGAGCCCCAACCTGTGTCGAATGCGGTGTTCCAAGGACAGTATGCATTAATAAGAAAAAAATTCAAGTTGAGTCACAATATGCGAGAAGTCTCAGGAGACTCGGAAACTGCTGTCCAATATCTTATAGAATTCTTAAAATAAATCAGGTTTTACCACCGATTGTAGAAATATAAGAAATGCCAATGACACTTCGGGGTAGAGGCATTATCACAATAAAAAAAAAAGTCTATATTAATTAAATTGACTTTATGACATTTTCATTTATTGACTAAAAATATTATTAGTACGGTAAAATTATGAATCGACCCAAATATTTTTACATCTATTTACTTAGAGTCTATAATAATTAAATTGTGGTTTGATATACAGTAAGTTGAGATTCGTCCCTAATTGTGTGTTTATAAAAACATAGAGATAAAATGTAATTAGTAACTTTACTTCGAATTCAAATTATTATAATTTATATGTTAGTGTGTTTGTAGTTTTTTTTTCACGAAATATTGTAAAAGACACGGATAATCCCAAACCTCTCCATGTATGAGATTCGTTCCCACTAACCTGACTATACCTGATAACTAAGGCCCAGCTTTTTATTCAGGAAAACCCACAAAATATGCCATATAATACGCAATAAAAGAACACCAAATATAAGTGTAAAATCAGTCTTTAAACATAATTTTTGGTGGTATAGTATAATAAAATTTGAGTGCTTGTGGAGATGAAACATTCCTAAATACTTCTTCTTTGAATATTGGTCGCCCTGTTAAACGATTTGAAGATTGCTATGCTCGAGATAAGGTCAATAAAATTTAAGATGTAATTGATACGAGAGGCGCAGAAAAAATGCGTTCGCCACTGAAGTCTCAGTCAAGTCACCACGCCAACTGAAGTATTGGGTGAAACCTGATTAGTATTTCAAATAAAATATTTTAAAATACATTTTTGGTATTTAGCGGTTTAGGAAGAAAAATATATAATTGGAACCTATATTTTTTTAAATTAAAAAATACAAAATAGCATTTTTTTTTCTCCCATTATACTAAAATACTAACAAATGTTTTTTATGTTGTATTTGAAATGCACAAAATAAATTACCGAATTGAGCAGGTCCTTTTAAGCACTAGCGGATCCAGAATTTAATTTGGTGGGGGGACTTCAGCCCGAAAGTTTTTTTTTTCATATACATAGAACGATAATTAATTTGAAAAAAAAGAAAGAAATTAACTACGTAAGGAAATGGTGTTTAAGTGGTTCTTGAAATCCTATTAAATGTAATTAAACGAACAAGAATCTTTAAGAGATAATTTTTAATATTTTTTTCTGTGAAACGAGGTCATATTTTATCATTTTTTTGGGGGGGGGGGGAGAGGGGGCTTT